GCATGGATTAGTTGGGTACAAACATATATCGAGGAGGTATGTTTTTTTGTATATATAAAATTGTTCTCTTTCCCGAATTGCTCGGATAGTAATATTTAACATGACATAGTATATCAATGATTATATTGCCATTTTTTTGGGCTATTTTCTCAGCCCTAGTCATCTTATGAAGTTGGAGATTTTTTTCTTTTATTCTTTGAGAACAAGCTGGGATACTCTTGGAAACAAAAGCAGCATTGCATTTGCATAGTTTGGGAATCTCATCATGTACTCGTCTTTTATAATAACTCGTGCATTGTAAATTAAGTGTCATCGGCATGGCAGAAGTTCTAAGATGCAGTTATTCCCTACCTCCTGTTGCCACAATGTTTTCCTGTAATGAACCCCCTCTTTAGGTTACTGACTGTTGTTCCACTCACCATTTGATAAGTCTGTGCCAGTATTTGGTTTTGGACCTCAAGTCATGCCTTATAGTTGGATCTTTTAAATCACAACACTGTTAAAAATCTAAACAACTTCAATCTAATGATATGTTGATGCTTTGTGAAGCTGGTGGCTAGTGGTGTCTCCGATGAAGAAAGGAAAGCCACAATGAACCGTGTCAACCCAAAGTATGTTCTTCGGAACTATCTCTGCCAGACAGCGATTGACGCAGCTGATCTAGGTGATTACGAGGAAGTTCGCCGGCTATTGAAAGTTATGGAACATCCATATGATGAGCAGCCGGGAATGGAGAAATACGCCCGCTTGCCACCGGCCTGGGCATACAGGCCTGGGGTGTGCATGCTATCCTGCTCGTCATGAGCCACATCCAGCTATGACCAATATACAGTGTTGTATACTTTTTTGGTTGTATAGGAGGTTTACCCTGTAATATGTAGTGTTCCGAGCGCCGCATTGTTTTATTACTGTGGCGCGATGTCCGAAACTTAGTCATGTTGTTTGTTGCCTTGACTTTGAGTAGCAGAATGTTCAGCCGTTCAGGAGCAGTTGGGAAATGAAGCGCTCCATACCTAAAGTTTCTGAGACGGTAATGTTATCAGTGGAAAACCCTTGTGTTGGATACTATGGGCTGTTGATCTGGGTGCATCCGGAAACATGGGAGGTTGTATGTTGACGTTGTTTATCGCTGTTACAATGTGCGTAATTCTACTGTTGAGCCGCTTTCTTGCATGCTTTAAAGAGCCACGGAGGATCGTACCGCAAACAGGTGGATCTACACCGGATGGTTAGCATACATGAATATCTGTATTAGCCTCCTTTCTAGTCACTATTGCAATGGAATGATACGCCATCCGAAACAGGTATGCTCACTTTCCAAATTTATTTTAAGTGTCATAGACAGTTGCTAAAAGCTCTCTCAACATACAGATAAATTGCATCTGCGCTGAACAATGGACAAACTCTTCTACAAGATGAGACACTGCATCACTAATTATTTGCTAAGTATCTTTGTTTTCCACCAGAGTAATAGCCAACGTGTAGGCGACTATCAGACATGTAGCCAACATGTGGGAGACATATGATGTCCTTGTCCCAATTTTTCTTAGTTTGCAAGTAACCATGTTTGTCATCATTTACTTTAAGACCGCGTCATTCTTGACAAGAATCTATATCCAGTTATGCAAGGTTGGAGAAAATCATTTAATTTTAGACTCCAACAAAGAATGCCATCTGATCTTGTAGTAAGCTTTTTGAAAATCAGTTTTCTTATTGGATGATGGAAGTTGAATTATTTTTCTCTGCTTTGAATCTTACCTTCCTTTATATGCATTTAGTGTAGAGTGTGCGATGTGATATGCTCTGTCCGCACAACATCTATGCTCTATCTCCAGAAGAACAACGCACACGCACACGCATGATTGCATAATCAAATTAAACATGCAGTTATGTTATATCACAAATACCATAAATACTGCAAGGTTCAGATTCCAGCATTACAAGACCCAAATTCAAAGATTACCAGGTATAAACTGTGCATGATTCTGTGCAAGGGGTGGGAGGTGATCCATCTAAGGGGATAGGTAATTAAAAGGTTGGACTCTTGGATGTATAGGAGTGCGATATGTGAAGTGATTTTCTAAGTTTCTCACAGGTAATCATGTTTGGGGAGGGGGTGTTTTCTGCTCATTGGGGAGGGGGTGTTTTCTGCTCAAGTCTGAGCAGGAGGGGTGCCTTTGAGGATTAACTTCTCAAATTTTAGGGGGTTAAAATTTTAAGGGGAAGAATTAGTTGGTGCTAACTCCTAAACAAAACCATTTTTTGGAAGTTAAATCATTTTGGGGAAGGTCCGGAGATGCTCTAAGGGCATCTTCAATGCAGATCCTCAAATCGGCCCATAATGTTTCGACTAGACAGTCTAAACACTTTTAGCCCTCCAACACGGATCACCA